TAATAATTTGAACAAGAAGTTATAGCGATAACAGCAGCTTTAAACATCATATATTTATTTCAATATTAATGTCAACGTTTCACTGGTTCGAACAGCAGTTTCAAGGCATTGACGTTGACGTTAATATTGAAATAAATATATGATGTTTAAAGCTGCTGTTATCGCTATAACTTCTTGTTCAAATTATTACCCGTTACTAAAACAAATTATCTGTCCGTCTTCAATTAGCTTAAAACATGCAGTTACTCAGAAAGAAATTTTAGTTAAAAAATGCGTTCGTTACTCAAGAAAAAACTTTAGTTACTCAGCAGACTCTCCACCCTCCACCAAAACTTCTATCGAAAACGCTGAACGTAAAGCTTACATATCAGTAAACCAAACAAGTTTTACAGCTCGTAAAATCAGATAACCTCAGCATGCGCTCATAATCAGTGAACATCTAGTTTCCACCAGAAATAATATTTCTCAAAAGTGAGTGACAACCACTATCGTCCAAACATTTCTTTCGCTTGAATCAAGTGAATAACGCAAAGCAAAATGCAAAAACATAAGTGGCGTAAAGCAAAAAATGATTATAAAAGCGAAATTCTGCATATTCTTCTAGAACAAAATATTTACAAAATTCTGTATTAATAGTCAAACTAATACAGAATTTTGAAATATTTTGTTCTAGAATATGCAGAATTTCGCTTTTGTAACCATTTTTTGCACCATGTATGTTTTTGCATTTTTTTTTGCGTGACCACGCAAAAATATTTTTGCAATTTCTATAGGGGAAGTGACATAACTAGATAAAATGACAATTAGATAATAAAACGTAACCCCAACTAGGGGTGGCACTTTACTAGTTACTAGGTAACTTTACTAGCTAAGTAACGAAGTAGTTACTCGTTACTAATGAGTAACTAATGTCCTTAGTAGTAACGAGTAGTTAATTTCGTTACAAGTTACAAGTAAAGTAAAGGTAAAGTGCCACTCCTAATCCCAACAACCAAAGTTCTTTCGTTCTGAAATATTTCTAATTAATTTATACAAAAAAGAGATACAGTAGGATACATGTAAAAGACGAAAACTTTGCTATTTCACTCTAAAAGTTCTAAACTGCAATCCATATATTAAATCTTTGGATTGAATCTCAGTTGATACAGAGTCGATCATTGTATTATTGTTCAAATGAAACGGTCGTGATATATAAAAACATATGATCGAAACTAAAATTTGATGTGTATGAAATGAAAATGATCGTTTTTAAATACTTTGTCCCATTTGCTATCGTTTATTAATGGCAGTAAAAATGCATGTATACGTCAGAAGTAAGTTTTTTCAACAAAAACATTTTTTGAAAAAATCTACTGAGTACTCGATAATAGTTTCTCAAAAAATAGAAGTTTATTGTTCACAAATTTTCATGTCAATGATAGAAAGGCGCTCAGAAATTCAAAACTTAAGCAAAATTTATCTTTGTGATATATAGAGCTCGTCGAGCTGAACAAGAATATGTGTGTTTTAACCCTTCGAATCAAAATTTTAACGTCAAAAATTTAAAAAACCGAAAATTTTAAAATCTTAAAAAACGGCTTATTTTTTAAAAAGCTCGAACACAATATGTTTGAGTCCTGGAAGCTTTTTATTCTTGTTCTCCGTAAAGAGCGAATCTGAAAAATAGTGTTTCAATACTGTTCAAGTATGATATGACCTAAAAAATTTTAGTTTTCCACTAATAGCCAAAATCTCGTTCATGTTGGCACAAAAAGCTTCAAGTCTCTCTAGATAAGAGATAAAGCTAATATTTTCATATCATTCTACTCGCCATAATAGAACGAAGAAAGTTACGTATTGGTTTTGAAAAATATTGTTCCATTGCTGAGAAAATAAATTTTTTTGAAACACGTAACAAAAAACAAGGAAATTCACTTGCATTTTGCAGTTTTCATCCTCAAACTTACATTTTTTTGGAATACCTGTCATATCTGGAATCAGCATCAAAAACGGAACTGATTGACGTGTGTCTCAAGATTTTTGCAAAATGAAAGTGAATTTCCTTGTTTTTTGTTACGTGTTTCAAAAAAATTTATTTTGGCTCGACGAGCTCTATATATCACAAAGATAAATTTTGCTTAAGTTTTGAATTTCCGGGCGCCTTACTAGGTTTCTACTACCTGGAAATGTGAGCAAAGACTCAGAATCAAATCCTCTTTGCCTTTCAAAACCGAAAATGTTGGACTTACATTAACACTGCTAGAACATAAGCGATCCATATTGTCTCATTGGGTCAAGCACTATAATTCTATTTTATTTTTGGCTGTTAACTAATAGAACAAACGGACCGCTATTTAAGTTTTATGTTCTCAATTATGTGATTAGACGATTTTTTTAGGAAAAGATCTACAGAGAAAAACCGTAAAAAAAATGTTATTTTCAAAAGTCAAAAGGTACATAGATTTAAGCATATGTTCACCGGATGATCAGTGGCTGAGAATATGACAAGTCTTATGTCTCGTCCAATTGAAAACTATTCACTATTCGCAAGTTTTTCTTGTGTTTTTCTCAAAATTGTTTTTCTTCTACACGCCGGGTCTTACTTTTCAAAATTCATAGCCATATTTTATGATGGAGAGACTGAATTATCTTTAGAGTGACATAAACATATGTGACTAGGAACAAGTGGAGTCTGATATTTGAATTTTGATTTTTTCTCAAATGAGAGAGTTTATTTTACAAAATTTACAAAGCAATTTTTGAAATTTGACTTTTTAACTCTGTAACACAAAAACTTCAAAGAAGCCACACATGTTCACTTTACTTTAAAACCAACCTGAGCTCGCCAGCATCTGTTCACAAAATTTAAGGATAAAACTGTCCCATTTGATCGGCATTTTAGCGACATTTGTTAAACTGTCGTGATAGATGAAGGCTGCAAAACTTTATTGTGCAAAAATTTATTACAAAACATAATTTGACAGAAACAATAATTCTGGGCAGTTTCGTGTAAATGAATACCATAGCGAACACATTTAAGTTCTTTTAACTAGACACGTCCGGACTTATTTAAGAAAAAAAATATTGAACAGTTGGTGATTATCAAATTGACTTCTCTCAAATGAAACAGGATAGAATAATTTTTTTTGATTTCTGTACGAAAATATCATTCCACTAAAGGGAGTATATACGGTCATTTTATATAGCTAAACACCCATTGTGCTTACATACTCCATTTCACTTTATTCTTGTTTTTTTTATAGACAAAAATAAACAAATAAAGATAGCCGAACAAGGTATGTTTTATCATTAATTTACATAGAGAAAAAGTAAGAATGCAGTTATTCAAATAAAAAATAAATAAAATAAAAAACTCTGTATTTCTTATGCTGACAATAAAATAACAACAAAGAACTACATAATCACACTCACGCACACACACAAAGATTAACAGGTTTAAAAAACAAACAAAACAGGCATTTTTCTAACTTACTCTTGTCTCTATATCAAATTGGACACAAAAAGCAAAGATAACGTGCAAAATTTACCTACGAAATGCTATCTCAAACTTTTATTATTTGCGCAAGATAAAGCAGGTTCAAATAACGTTATTGAGATTAAAATGAAAAACTACATACGCATACAATCCTGTTCATCGCTGTTCAATACAACTAGTACACTAAACTAGAAAAACAAAGCAAAATTCGAGCTGGAGTATGAGTCGTTTAAAAAAGGATAAAGTACGACAGAAAGTAGCAATGGCTTCAGATTCTCTTTTAACTATAGATGACAAAAGAATTCTCCTATTATGAAGGGTTTTGAAAAGTGATGATATTGATTGTCTTTTTCTTTTTTTGAGGGTCCGTCAACATGACAGAAAAAAGTGAAAGCACTGTTTTCATATGCTCATTTCATACTTAAATAAAATAAAATAATAAGTTGAATAGAGTTATTGTCATCCTAGTTGGTGTAAAGCAAATTAGTCACGGGAAGTATTAACGCCTATCCGTGAAATATCTTAAAAATACGCGCTCTCTATCTATAAATTCATCCGAATTAGAGAACAACGAAAATACAACTATTCGAATGCAATCGATAACAACAAATTTAAAATACACAAAATGATAAAACGACGGAGATAGCCTGTATAACCTAGTGTCGTACTCACAAGGAGAGGATAGTATCAAAAGAAAGAAAAAAGTAAACTAATTCTATTTTCCTATTCAATTTACCCTACGTTCATGTTTCCTATTCAATTAAAGAGAAGTTAAGTATCAGCTATTGTTTATTAAGAGAAAATACAAGATGGATTTATTGTATCTTTCTCCCTCACGTTCACACACACACACACACACGAAGAATAACTTCAGATCTGTTTACTGTCTCATACTGTTTCACATATAAGAAAGAAACCTATTGATCAAGTGTTCAAATGTAGAAGAGCAGATCTGTACAAAAGCACTCATATTGAAGAATGTAAAACAAAATGTCATTTACTGTAGTAGAAGAAAAGGTAATGTAAAATTTTTTACAAAAATATGTAACTCTCAACACTCAGATCTATGTGATATACAAAAATAAAAGTAATTTAAAAATACAAAAAGACAGGTTATAAAAACACACAAAGCAAAAGAAAAATTACACAAATATTTTACATCTTAAATAACATTCTCTCTGCTGTGCTTCTCATTTTTTCAGAAGCAGAAAAAAGAGATTCACCGAGAATAGTGTGTGGCAAGAGAAAGCAAACAAACAAAAATAAATAATGAAAACAATAATTAATGAAATTGTTCTGTATCAAAAACAATTTTAATTGCATCAAGTACATGTTCAACAGTAAATTTTGGTTGTTTCAATAGAGGATCAATAATCATGTCTCGATGTCCATGATTAAGTTGTTGTGTTTGTTCTTCTTGTTGTTGATCTTGATTATAAACACCGGTACATACTAAAACAGAATTGATACTTTCAGCAGAATAAAATTGTTCAGCTTCATCTGCCACAATTTCAACACTATTTCGTCCCCACGCTGGCGTTGTTGATGAAACACCGCTAGTAGCTGCTTTTTGAGTAACAACTTGTTTCAAACGAGATAATGTACGCGTTTGTAAATAATTATTATAAACATTTGCTCCATAAATATCTGTGTCAGGATTGTCTAGATTAAATAAAATAAATAACACTAAAAGTGAAATATTAAAAATATTCAATCTTACCTCCAACAGCATATAAACGTTTGATTGGCTTTCTCAGTCCTAACTCTTGTGCATGCCTTGAAACGCAATATTCAGCATGATAATAAGTAATTTCACTCGGTTTGCCAACAATGGCTGTGTACTGTAATGGATGACCGGAAATTTTCTATTAAAAGAAAAAGAAATGTAACTAACTCCTTAATAACTGAACTATTTAGAAAAAACAACTAACCTTATATAAATTTTCTAAACAAAACATATAAGATCCATGACCAAATCTAAATGAAAACAAATAAAACATAACAATAATCGCTTTTAAACCCAAACTTTAATCATACCTTGGCAAAGGTGCCTCGGCCATCCACAATAAATCGGCATTTGAAGCTAAAACAGGTAGATGTGGACTAGGCACTCGGGTAATCGGAGAACTGGGGTTCCCATTTGTCATTAACACATCAACAACTAGTTGTAAATTTGTTTCCCATCGAACCTGAAACAAAACAAGAAAAATTGATTGAAAAGTGTCCAACAAAATCTTCCTCTGGTATTCGCAGATAAAAAAAACGTTTAACTTACTGGCTCACCAAATAACACAATTGCTTCTATTGGCAGAAAATAATCTCGAAATGGTGAATGCTAGAAAATCAAAAAAGATAGAGCTAGATCAAAAGACCATAGATCTTGTATTATTCTTGTTTATTGTAACAAAAACTTACGAATCCTCTTCGTTTCTTATGATCAACCATGTCTAAATTTGGAAATGCATCACATAGTTGATCGGTCGTTGTGACTTTTGTAAATCCCAGATTTTTAGCTATTTCAGCAATGGGACCTTGTCCAGTAATAAGACAATGTTTCTTGTGAAATTCTGTATACAACTTTAATGGACTATGTGACATGATGACTTGTTCAGGTAATACCTGCAAGAAGAAAATGAAATTTGTTGACAATTTATTATCAACAGAAAGTAAAATACTGAAGTAAAGAAATTGTAACCTTAAAATAGACCTAGTCTCATTTGTTTAACTAATTGTTCAAAAATTTCTCTTCCTTTTTACTTCGAATTATTATTTATTACGACGTTTCGAAGGTTACTACCTTCTTCATACAAAGGAAGAGAAATTTTTGAACAATTATCATGTCCTTCCTCACAATCACTCAATTTAAGAAGTAAAAAGGAAGTGAAATTTTTGAACAATTATCATGTCCTTCCTCACAATCACTCAATTTGTTTAACTAAATAAGGAAGACTACAGAAAGAAAATTAAGATGTATAAGACAAACTTATACAGTTAAAACTTTTGAGCGAGCGATTTTCTTTCGACTAAACATACCTGTATGCCCAATATATGAGATAATTTTGTTGCTTTTGATGATCTTAATTCACTGCCCGCATTTGTTACAAATACCGTTGGTATTCGAAAATTTCCACTAAAATCTACTAATTTCCGAAATGCTTCACGTGTATAGGGTAGTAATTTTCGACCTCTTGTTAAAACACCATCAATATCAAATAGAAAACCAAATTGGGGCTGAATAACAAATAGACAGAGATTAAAAAAACTATATTCACGTTTCATAATTTCTTCTTATTCCTACTTCAGCCTTTGACTGTATCGATAAACACCGGTTTTTTATCAAAAGAGTTGAGCGTATAGCCGTTGAATAATAGTATTTGTACATGGTGTATAAAAAAACTTTAATATGATATCAATGATATTGTTTTCAAATGATAGTTGAAATCGATGATAAATAGCTTAAAACATTTTGCTCGACAATAATCATAAAGTTATTTTTTTAATTAAAAATTATCAGAAAGAGAAAAATAAAACAGAGATTAAATTTGTCATTTTCTAGTACAAAAAGAAAATAGAGATGATTGACGAGTACAATTAACTGACAGATTAAAAAGAAAATATCGGACAGTAAGAAATAAATAAACGGATTATTAATGATATTATAACGAGGTGTTTATTGTCACATTCATAGAAGAAAAAAGACACGTTTAATTCGGTCAAACATTTAGATCAAGATGATCTGCAATAAAAACATCAATTATTAAATCTAGATACATTTGTTATTTCCAAAAACGTTGTTCGGTTACCTTTAGAGGAATTGATAAATCAGAAGCGAATGATAAGAGTTTGTTTATTTTAAATAAACAAGAATGACAGCTTCCTCTGTTTTTCAAATTTTCAAAGTTTTTTTAAAAAAAAATAGCAATTCTAATTTTCGTGCTTTTTTTTAACACTGTTCTAACAGTAGAGTTCTGTCGAAGACATTTCCCAGTTAGTAGAGTGGTAACTTTATTTTTTGAATTTGTTTCAACCAGAATTTTTTTTTTGGCTATCAAATGTTTACGTTGAATCGCATATCACTTTACATATGACGTTTGCAAAGATAAATGACGAATCAAATTTATCAATAATTGAACAGAACTAGTTTTTATGCTAATATTCTCTAAGACTTCTCTTTTTCTCATTTCTCTAATTGTTTTCTTCTTTTTTCTCTAAAATAATGACATAACACGGTAGTTTACCTACGTATTTTAAGTAAACACGACTCACTAAACGCAAAAATGTGGAACGAAAAGAAGGTGCAAAACAAATGTACGCTTCACCTAAAGGTCAAAATAAAAATTCATACTAGAGAAAATGGACTTTTTTTATGCCCACTCCTGATCAAAATCCTAGTGACGTGCGTGCTCAATCATCTGGATAATTCAAATTTTTTCATTGTCACTAGTTAACCCTAGTGGAAGTACTAAAATGTTAGTCATGAGTACTTTTGGGTAGCCAAGAACCTTGTTCCTAACTACGATCAAGTACTCGTAAAAGTACTAAAATATTCATGCTGAAATGTTTAAATTCTCGTGAAATGTTGATCGTCCGTCCTCATTGAGCACTAACATTCTAGTCGGATTTTCATTCCGGTCGGAGCAATAGAACCTCTTAATAACACTAAAAAGAGATGTTACTTTTAGTTGTTTTCCAATATATCTTATTCATTTTATCAAGAAAATGAAAAATTTCAAGTTTTTTTCTAAGACATTATCAAATAACACTCTTATCGTTATTATTCGAGACTATATGTAGGTGGAAGACGTTAGATATTAGAAGGCAAAATTTCATTGGCTAAAAGGTGACATGATTTAATAACTTGGACCTTGACAGATACAGATGAATGAAATAAGATGAAACGTATACTGAGACTGAAAGTACTCAATGATCAATAGACGTGATAATGTACAACATGAAAGATTGTTTCTCAGTTTGTACATTTTAAAACTAAATGAATAGAGATCAGTACAATCTTAACTCACATACGCATTTACTACACCACGCAAACTTTTTTCACTAGATAGTAACAAATATCAGTATAGAATAAACTTGCTATATTGACGACAGGCTTGATTGTAGTACGTGAGTTCATGTGGTTAAAGAACTCATAAAATTCATTGTAAATGATGACGGATGCAAAACTTCTATTATCTGTTTTGAAACGCTGAAGACAAATCATAAAAAGTAAACATACAATATAAAGTATCTTCTTTCAACTACCCATTTCAGTTCTTTTTATAATAAAAAAAGGACATCTCTACAAACATACCATGCATTTTTTTCTGCCTTGATAGTATGAAAGTGGAAAGAGCATTCGCTTATATCTCCGCAGGGGGGATTTTGGAAGACGATTAATCAAAGGGGGAGCACTACAAGGCAAATGTACCCATTTCGGAATACGTCTATTGTGAAATGTCATTCTACCATTCCATTTTTTAGAAGCCGAGCTTAGCTTTATGTAGACCAAGATATAGACCAAAACTAAAAAAATTTCTTTTATTCCAGAATGACAGTCCACGATTTTAGAGTGCCATTCCAGAAATTTTGTACCCATTCCGGAATGTGGTTTTTACCCCTTGCTATTAATTCTTGACGCTTTTTGCTATCTTAGGTATATACGACGCGTTCATAAGGAATAACATTTATTTCTAAAACTGTGAAATAATACAATAACAACAAGTGTGTCTTAAGCTGAAATAAGTACATCACCATTTTGTAAACGTGTTACAACTGGCATTGCTGACTTATTTTTTCTCATCGATGTTGTTGTAGTCGTTCGACGATAATTATTCGTTAAATTTTTTGTTGACAATGAATGTTTTGTTAAAATATTTGTATGATCGGGAACTATTGTTATTCTTGATAATGATGGTGTTCGAGTTGGTGTTGATACATTGAGTGAACGTAATTGTGATGTTGTTGTCGTTTGACGATGAAATCTTGGTGACAATTGAGATTGTGGTAATAGACCACCAGATTGAACACTCAAATAATTTTCAAAGGAAGTCGGTGGATTATAGCGACAAAATGGTGTTGATTGACCATTAATAATTGTTGAAATTGTTGATAAGGAATCAGGATAATTGTTAGAAGATGATAGTGGTGGAGTAGTTGACGTTTTATATAAACTGCGCTGTTTTTTATATTGACTAGATAATTGTGTTGATGATTTACTCTCTAATTTATTTTCACTATATTTAGATGCTGATGAAATTTGAGATCGATGTGATCTAACTAAGATGGCAATAATCAGTATAATAAGTATAAGAAATAGAACAATCGCAATGATAATGACGAGGAGTGTTCGAATGATTGCAGCTGTTTGATGCTGTTTACTAACGCCATTATTCTCATTTAATGTTAATTGATCGTCCACTGTTGACGATAATAGAAAATTTTTGATTTTATATGTGGTTAATGGTAGTGTACGTTTATAGATTGTAACATTGTCTTGTCTATTAGCACCAAATAATAGTGTGGTACGACATCTCAAACCGTCACAATAGGTTCCTACAATAGAGATAATCGATAAACTGTAATAAGTGTATGAATGATGATAACAAACCTGTTGGACATTTTGCAATTTGATCAATGTCTGTACATACTGAATCTCGTTCTAATTCACAGTCATAAAGTCCACTTGTTTTTCGTACTTTTCTCGTTATTTGTGGTGGACATAGACAATAGGGTGTTTGACTAGAATCACAATATTTTAAACATCTTCGTGAAAATTTTGTACAATTTGATTGTACTATGGAATCAACACAATATCTTCCCAAGTGATTGAGATCAACAATTGATGTATTTTGACTATAACATTGACAAGTATGTGTGAGTGGAGAACATTGAACTAAATCATTTATAGAACTACAATCTTCGGCTAATTGACAAACGGTACCCACAGGTTTTTCATAACGAACTGACATGTCAAATGTTTCATTTGAGGCGGTTAAATAAACTAGTTGATTATCACAATCGTACGCTTTACATGAACGTAATGCTATTTCACCTAGGATAATATTTAGAACATAAGTATGAAATGTGAATTTGGATAATTTATTATTTTTACTAACCTGGTTGCAAAAATAATACCGAACGTATTCCAAGATCTGTGACATTTAATATACTTAATTGTGCTGGAACATATTCTGATTGTTGTTTCATTTTTGAAGATTTTACTTTAATTGTTGTATATTGACATTCTGTAAAGATCATATTGTCGGGTAATTGTGGACAATTTAATATTAATGGTACAACAGAGACAGATGTACCACTTAAATTATAGACAAGGGTATTAATTGGCTCAGTATTTAATTTATATTGAATAGGTAATAGTGATGTAGAATCAAGTGAATAGTGACCAACAAAATCGATGGAACGTGTATTAAATATTCGTGCACCAAGTGATAAATAGTGACCAGTATCAAATACGCAATCAGATAGTATAATAGATGTGCGAATATAAGGACAAGAAGTTTGAAATTTTTGTGGATGTAATTCACAGAGATTAATAATAATTAGCAATTGAGGTAACAAAAGAATGACTGAAGAACGAACAGACATAGCAGTTGAACATGACAAAATTTCTTATCGTCCAAAATTGTTTATTTATATCTAAAAGAGTATAGAAAGAAGTAAAGTCGGATTGTCGTATGTGCGTGTTTGCAATCATCCAAAAGTCAAGTTTAAATTCACATATCACTTGTAGAATTTTGTATGAAGATCTCAAGCAAATTTACATTAGATCTTGAATATTCAGGTGTCTAAAATAATAATAAATTTTTTCTGCTATTCGTAAAATTTTACATTAATAGTAATTCTACAGAACATTGATAAGAAAACAAGATCAGTTCTTTAGATCAAAGGTACGTATTGTTATAAAAATTCGTACTCATTTAGTCTTAAATACATTTTTTCTAGTAACAGAACCTTTCTCAACTCACTATGTTGTTTTGAGGTACTTAGTAGTATGCAGATTTTTGTAAACTCCTTTCCAAGCATGTTTTTTTCCTTTCTTTTAGCATGATCCATTTCCACAACAATTTTGGGCACAGACATTTATTTACACCCGGTTTTTTCCAAAAATAAAAATGATGAGTGAGAAAACACTGTTTGAAGCATAGTTTAGAGGATCGTACATGTGTACGAAATATCTAGCATGCTAATTTCCGATCCGGGCTATTTTCATCATCGATAAGGAGATAGATAGATCTACTGTAATTTTGCTTAGTTATGACTACGAAGCGCCGAGAAATTGTGCACAAAAACATCAGTTTTCCGATTTTTCTTTTAGTCTCATACGTGAGTATACAAATTTTTCTTACGTTTTCCTAAAAATCTTATACTCGCATTTATTTTTCGATTAAAATGCTAAATTTATAGTTATTTATTTTGTCTATAAATGAGTCATTTTCCAAGGAAGATATGTAATTCAAAACTGTTTAGAAATGACACTATGACTGTATTTATTCTCGTTCCTCGAAATTGTTCGAAGTTTCTAGCACTGTATCATTCGTAACCATTTACAATAGCAATGAATTATTACATAAAAATGAATCTCTTGCGCTCAACTATCATCACTCTTTAATACGAGCGTCAATCTTTAATGTTTTGCTTTCTATCTGTTTTCGAAAATTTTAAAAATTGCATTTTCCAGAAACTTTTATGCAAAAAACATTATAGTAAAAAAGTCGTGACCTTTTTTCCATATTTTTATACAATTTTTTGCATACGAAAAACTTTAGACGTTTTTACGGGATCTTCAAAATTTCTATCCTTTGAAAAAAATTTAAGCAGATAGAAAGCAAAACATTAAAGATTGATGTTGGTGTATAGTAGTGGAACGTAAAAGATTCGTTGTTGTGTGAATATAGTACTGTACTAAACGACTACTAGTACCCTGTGAGAATTTAAATGAAAAGAAAAAGATTGTTCCAATGTGAATAAGTGTTAAGGTATCTTGGCGAATTATTTCAGTTTAATATTGATTATCTATAGACTCTAATAGAAATACACACAATGAAGAATTTTTCTCTTATTCTTGTAAATACTATGTCTTAATATGAATTTACCACATATAGATAGATCAATTCAAATAATTTACTATTACAGTCTAATATGAATAATCAATAAGAGAAAAAAATTTCAAAACATCATACAAATTAACATTGACACTTAATATAAAGTTCATCACACGAATGTAGTAAGTTTCCTTTCTAGAACATAATGTGAATTTTTTTAACAAAGTAGTTCAATAAAGTATAGTGGTGATGAAATATAGAACTACTATTTGATTAAATATGATTGTCATGGAATATTGTATTATATGCTCGGTGAACATTTACTTTCTCACTCTCTCTCTCTCTTTTCTCTTTAGTTAAATAGACAACAGAACGGATAACATAAGAGAGAAATATAAATTATAATAAAGTGACAGATCTGCTGTTTGTAACATAAAAAAACATAAACATATTTTGATTTTTAGTAACATTAGTGTATACTTCATATGAATAAAATAGGAGGCAACATTATTACAATTATTCATGTATATGTAGATAGGTAAAAATTATTTCATAGATATTCCATTAACTTAACTTCTCTTGAAAACGATCTAAATGAATGAACACGCACGTTTTTTATCTTTAATGTATTAATCTCTTTTGTTAAAAATAGAAATATGGCGTTCATCAAAATATTTCTTGAATATATATATAAATATACACGAGACTTTTAACATTGTTTAATATCCTTTATTCTTACATTTTTAATATCAATAATGGTTTTTAATAGATTTTACTAACTAATCTGAGGATGTAGATGTTGTGTATGGGTCATTTATATCAACTTTCATTTGTCTTAGATATATTTAAAAACGTTCCTCTCACACGCACACATAATGTTTATATAGACAATAACAATAACACTTTATTCTAACAACAGAAAAAAGAAATTATTTTCATGTTACAACATCGTTGTCAATATAGTCACCACAAGATATAAAAATGACAGCGATCATCGTCATACTAAACAACACTCAGACGATGATTGTTGTTGCTACTCCTATAATGTCACGCTGAGTGTCTATAATAATAACTTCTATTTTTCAATGTGTTATACTTCAAAGTACTACTACTATACAATCGTAGTTTCATTATATACTGCGAGTCTATATGAGTATGACACAATGAATATTGTTTTATCATTAACCTTGTATATAGACTAAATAAAATTTAATCGCGAATTGAGATTATCAGTTTAATTTGTTGATTTATGTATGTCATTTTGTTTTTTGATCACAAAATGAAGGTGTTTCTACATGCACATTTATCAAACTATCACGTAAAATACGTATATTTAGTCTAAACTCGATAACTATTAAGATGATAACTACCTTTACTACTACTAATGCACATAAAGTAACTTTTTCTCTAATGTTCTCTTGTTTGGGGACAGATAGCTTGATAGACATACTTACTTTTTCTTCGTTCATTTTTTTTTCTTTAAAAAAAAAAGTTTTAACAAACAAAGATGATTATGTGGTATTGAACACTTAAATGAAAGAAGAAAGAGTGATTGAAAGATTATTTTCATTTATGTATGATGTATCTATCATTTGACTCGCTTTGACATTGATCAATGTTCTATGACTAGGCAATCTCTAGAGAGACAAAAAAACATGTCTTATATACAACGATATTACGTTAGTTTTTAATTATTCTAAGAAACTACAATTAAATATCTAAAAAAATCTTTTCTTTTCAGATCAATCTTGATGCTGATTAACAAGATTCAAAGCGTACATGTATTTTAATGGAAAAAATGGTATCGTTATCACTCGCCCTCACTCTATCCTTTAGCAATAGCAACGTATCAATTGTAGCAGGATCAAAATGCAACAATGGTGCAACAAAATTTCTCTAATAAACAGCAATATTAGTAAAAATGATGTTGATAATTTAGTTGTTTGTGTCAATGAATGATCGAAACAGGTCTCAGATAAAGATTTTTTAATCTGATTCGATTTTTGGTGTAAACTAATTATTCCCAATCAAATCTAACGTTAAATTTGATTGCATTCACGAATACTGCTACAACAAATTCTCTACGAAGTCCAATAACAGATGTTCCTTATCCTATCAAGCGTCATAAAATATGTATGTAGATGAAAGTTTTCCCTTGACATTAGATACGATTAAAATTTTTTTAAACAATACTCTCTGTACACACACATATAAGCTTAATTTTCTAGTTTAAAATTTTTTTTGAACTACTAATCGACAGATTCGTTTGAATCTCTCTTTTCTCTTGTTCTCTCTTGCATATATGAACAAGTGGAACGATAGAGAAAATAGAAAAGTCTCACATAAAATTCCCTCTATAGGTGACTTAGGAAAAGAGAATTATTTGATAATCATATATGAATCCTATATAATGATTTATGTATGAGAGGTTTATAAATACAAAAAAAGTGACGGTAACATAGTACTAGTGCACGAAAGGAGGACAATTTCCGTTTTTGAGTAGTTTTTATTATATCATGCTCGTTTGTACCATTGATTAATGACCCTAATCTTATGTGTATTTTAAACGTTAATAGATTGGTAATTCGAAACTCTTAATACACGCAACATTCACTTATTCACTTGATCATTACGCGGTACTTATACAAACTATAATTGATTATTATCACGATCATATTCTCTGCTTAATATCCTTCCATTACCATCACGTTGGTTGCGGTAATTTTTAAGTTGAAGTTGTCATCACACATGTTTAGTAGAGTCAAACGCATATCTTAGAAAGAAGATCTAAACCTCTCAACAGAAATTTTCTCCAAAGATACGAGTATCTCTAATAAAACATTGAGTGATTAGGAGTCACTGTATTCTCATATCTCTTTCGTATGACAGTAGAAAGTTCACAAAAACCTTTGTTAGTTTAGCTAATTAGAACATTGAACGTAAAATGACTGCTTATAATTTGTATCAATTGTTGTCAAAAGGTGTAGCCTCGTGCTGAACACCAAATGTTCATTTTTTTCCATGTATATTTTCTACATAGACAGCACTGTTTAAGTTTAAAGTAGTTATAACTACTTTTAAACTCAATAGTGATAGACAACGCACATCCGAATGAGCACAAGTCTTATACCAAAAAAATGTATCGTAGATATAAAATATTTTTACTCGCGTTGTATTCGAGAAGATATGCTCAATCGACTTTTTTTGTACTCGAAAAACTAAAGATGTAGACATAGGCGAATAAAAGATAATAAAGAATAAAATTTGTAATGAGTGAAGAAAAGAGAAGTAATGAACTTCCATTGTTACTGCCACCCGCTGTACAGCTGTGTTAATATGCACTAAAATCAAAACATTCACAAATATGTAGAAGAAAAATAATAATAAATAAACAAGCGAGAAAAATAAGTAGAATTAGTAAAAGTCTGATTAAAAGTATACGCAGGAGGTAGTGTACAAAAAAAAAAGAAATTTTAGATCGATACTTCGAAGAAAAAAGATCAAAAACAAAAAGAAGAGTAGAAGAAAAGTTTATTACTGGAA